CCGGCTGTTAAAGATAGAGGAATCAAAGAAATAAAACTCAGCCTAGAGTAAAATTTGTCTTGCCTTAATTTTTTAGACTCTTCGTTCACCTTGTATTGTAATACATAATGTGTTTGCTTAGTGACTGATCGTGTGGAGTGTTTTATTGGACTTTTCAAAGTCATTAAAATTATAAACATGCATGTGTATCTATGGGCTAGACTGGTATTTACCACCCACCACTCAAATCACCCTAGCTACAACCTTGTGTATGCTTATTACATATGTTATTCTTGGGTGCCTTACCTTATGAAGGATATTGAATTATTAGAAAAGGTTCAAAGATGGTCTACTAGAATGATACTTGGGATGGAAGGGTTGTCCTGCAAGGAAAGATTAAGATCTCTGAAATTGTTTTCTCATGAAAAACAAAGAAGAGTAAGAGGCAATCTGATTGAGGTGTTAAAGATTGTTAAGGAAATTGATAGTATTCATGCATCATTTTTTTTTCTTCATACTTAATGGTGAGAATGGTAGGTAGAGCTGGGTGGTTAACTTGATTCCTTCATGCATCTGTCTATGAGATTTGCATGCCACTAGCCTTGAGCTACCTCCCACCTAAATGACACACACTTAACTAGAACTGTGTTAGTGCATGATGTAACCATCAAGCAACGATAGCTCTACACCAATAGGAAGGCAACACAATCTCCTTGGACAGTTATGCTCCTTAAGTACTTGTGCTCAAAGTAATTTCATTCTTTTCTTCAGTATTGTCTAAAATGGACATGTTCCAAAACTGTTAATTACTTGGGTTTTGTGATTGTTTACAACTAAGTTAATCTTTGTTGTTTTCCTGGTTCAGTGTTCATGTCTTACATAACCAGTGTGGTTTCTTTAATTTCATTTAAAGAAATGCCAAAACAATGGTGATTGCCTACCATTATGACTTCTCATGTGACAGTAACTTCCACTTCATCCTATGATAGTGTAGATGTTCATAACATGGGAACTGTGTTTAGTGGCTACTGGAGACTGATTGTTTGTGAAGGACGTGACAGCCAGTGTTCAACATGTTATGGCTTCCTTGATGTATATTGGGTCTCTTCCTCTCATCCATTTAGCCAATGTTCCTTCTCCTCAGTTTGAACATGACCAGGCTGACGATAGTTTTAACTGATTATTTCCCTTTCTAGTGCCCAATGTTCATGTTTTCATCTCTTTCTTGCCACCCTCCTGCATTACCTCTTGTCACTTCATCACGCTCTGGAGAGGTTTATTCACCATTTGTCACCACATTGGCCTGTAATTCTTCTTCTCCTCTCTTCCACTTCTGCTGTTGGGATGGGATGCTCCCCTGACTAATGTATACCTCTCTCACACTTATCTCCATGAGTTTTGTCAGGCTTCTTTTCTTAGCTCGGGAGTGTTCAGAAATGTTCCTGACTTACTGGAAAACCAGGTTGAGGCAGCCCAGCATCAGTTCTCATTATCTATTATGGTTTCTTATCTTTCTCAATCTCACCCTTGTTTCTGCTCCTAAGCCTACGGAATCCACATCTCCCCTTCTATTTCAACTTCCCAGCCTCATTTTTATTTCCACTTCCCAATGTCAAGGTCATCACTTGTCTCATCAATGACAACCATATCGGGTCTAGCTATGTAGGAGACTGTTTTGACTTGCCAGCTTTTGGTCTCCCTATTCAGCTGACAGATGGGTTCTTCAGGTTCTCACCCATGGCCTATCTCTCCACTTTTCTTCTTCTCCTCCCCTTTCCCCAGTTTCCTTTCCTTCTTCCTATGCTCCCATTTATCTTCAACATCTCATGAATGCTGTCTCAGATCTCTTGGCCAAGAACACCATCAGGAGAGTATTTACCCATACTCTAGGCTATTACTCTCATATCTTTGTGGCCCCCAAGAAGACCAGGGACTACTGTCCGGTTATTGATCTGTCATCCCTCGGGTTCATTATGGATATTTTTTCCCTCTTTGGCGGTTCTTTTCATCTGGTCTGTGGATGACTAGGATTGACATTTCAGAAACCTTTTTACACTGTCTGTTTTTAAAAATGAATTCTTCTATATTCAAGATAGGCATTTCCTTAAAAATAAGAAATGGACAACAGGAATTGTTAAACCTAATTGTTTTACAAAGGAAATAAAGGGAAAAAATCAGGGACAAGTAAGTCCAAACTGATAGATAGGATAGAAGATTTAAAAAAGTATGAGAAAGTTAGCTATCAGTATTTCATTTAAAAAAATTATAAAATCAAAAGGTGTTTATGAGAAACTGCTGGCTGATAATGTTAAAACTAATATCAAGGATTTTTTAAATATGTGCAAGGTAAGTAAAATGTTAATATAGGGATTGGTTCTTTAAAAGATGCTGATTGCAAGGGCTTGTTGAAGACTATGAGATGGTTGGGCCTTTGAATTTATTCTTCTGTTTATACAATAGAAGTTATTAAGAATATTTTTGACCCTGAGCATTCTGCAGGAAATATTGAAATTTTCCTGAATTATGTAGTCCTCAATCCAATCCCTTGGTGGTAAGTACTGTAGAAAGATTGATAGATAAAACAACAGGTACAGACAAGGCTTTTCCCCCAGGAATTTTAAGAGAAGTTCAAAGATTAAATATTGAAATCTCTCTTTTATTTTTGGTTGGTCTGTAGACAGTGGGCATATGCTTAAGGATTGGATAGTTGCTAATACTACTCCTGTTGCCCTGGAAAGTATAGCCAGCTAGTCTTATACATATACTTCTACAATGAAAGAAACTGTAGAGTCTAATAAAAGAAGCTTTACAATATCATTGAAATTTGACATTGGAATCATCAAAGCTAAATCCTGTCTTACTATCTTTTATCTTTTTTGAGGATATTCCTTGTTTTCCTGAATGATTGATAGGGTGTGGACTTGATGTACACTTAGATTTTCAAAATTGTTTTGATAAGGTGTCACACAAAATATTAGAAAATAAAATCACATCAGTGGGTGTTGGGGGAAAGACTAGCTGATTGGATTGTAGCTATAACTCTGAAGGTATTTAAAAGGAGATTGGATGAGTACTTCAGAGATCAGAGTTGGGTTTAAGAAAGGGGGGGTCTTGTATGTTGTTTGGAATAAGAGTGATAGTAGAAAATGGAATAGTGTATACGGGGTAAATGTTACAATGTTTCGGAATAAAGTGATAATGACAAACCACTTGGTCAATATGGGTCAGAAAATGAATAACACCAAACTTAAAAACTTGCTCTTTTTTCCTGAATTTCCACATAGCCAAGTTGATGAAAGTAAATTTACATTAAGTGACCAGATGGTATTATTATAAATTTATTATGTATTAGTCCAAATGTAGAATAGAACTGTATTTAGTAAAGAAATTTAAAGTGTAAGTAATTATAATTTTGTTTTTGGTTTTTTTATTTGTTCTAACCTTATAGTGAAAAGAATGCTCAAATTGTAGTTGTACAGGAATGCTATTAATGTTTTGAAAGTAATTCAAAAAGAAACATCAAAATAGTTTTTATAATTATATAGTAGTGTATCATTTAATTTGTATTGATATATATATATATATATACTGAATAGCACGATGGCTATGGAAGCTACAGATATGCCCCCTTGTTCTGTTTTTATTCTTGGAGCATCTGGTGAAGTTGGAAAAGAGTTACTGAATGCAGTATCAGCTGAAGCCAAGTTTTCAGAAATTGTGCTGATTGGAAGAAGAAAGATTGAAGAAGAACCATTTATGAAATATGTTAGTAACTAAAATAGACTAAGCTCTTATGAAAAAACTAGCAAATGTTGAAGAATAGCCACTATAAATAAGAAAAGCTAGTCTTTTAGAATTAAAAAACATGTTTTGACTATCAAGCACTAAATATATTATATAATTTGTGGGAAACTCAACTGAACTTAGTTGTTTTGTATATGCAACAGATGAAAACTAGTCACGTTTTGTAATTTAAATGTACTTAAAGTAATTTATCACTATTTATATCTTTGTTGAATAAAATTGTTTCAGTACTGTATATTATAAACTATTTTACAGAAAATTTTAATAGTTACTGGTGACTATTGTAGACATTCAAAAGATTTATAGTGGCTGGAGACGGCTTGAATGGGTAATGAAGAAACACTTTAATATAAGTTTTTCTTCATTACCCATTCAAGCCATCTCCAGCTATTATTAGTTTCAAAGTGGGTTCCTCGTCATCGAAATTTGAATTCAAGATTTATTGAATTATTGATTGCATTGTTTTTTTTAAATTATCCCTTTCTTTTTATTTATTGATGACGTTTTATTCTCTTACTTTCCAAAGCAAGAAAAAATGGAGAAAGTTAATAGGAAAAATACTATAGACATGTTGGATGCATTGTATAAATTAATACATAGACTTTAATAGTGTGGAAAACACATGAACTGGTGGGAATTGTTAATTTATATGCAACTTGTTACTTACAAGATCATATTTTCTGATCATAAATTATGAGTAATGTGATAAATTTCTCACACTCAGATTTTATAGATAGGATTTTATATGTATGTATATGTAAATTAAAATCTGAAGTTATTTTGTCTCTCACATTACATAAATGTTTATATAAATTCTTATTATCCTAAATATAAATTTTGATGCTCAAATTTGATTTAATACTTCCTCTTTTTTTGTTTTGTATCAGGAGCAACGTGTAGTAGATTTTGAAAAGATTGAAGATTATGGTAATGCTTTTCAAGATTTGGAAATTGGATTTTGTTGTTTAGGAACAACAAGAGGAAAAGCTGGTGTGGTGTGTATTCCACTCAATTTTTAAATTACAAATATAATCAATGTTTCAGAAAGATGTTGATATTTGAAAAATTGTTCTAAATAGTCATAATTTATAAATATAGAAAAGTTAATCAGTTAAGTTTCCAATATGTATATTTTTCTCAGAATAATAGCTTGAAAGTGTTTAAATTATAAACTTTCACCATCCTACTAGAAGTAAAGTGTCAGACAACTGTAAGTGTTGTAAGCCACTATAAAATCAAAATACCTATTTTGATAGAAGATTTAGAATACATGATCACATATAAAAGGTGCAATGAATTTCAAAAAAGATATAAAACTTGAGTGCTTTCAAAGTATTTGAAAGCACTTGAGTTTTGGGTCTTTTTTTGAAAATCAAAATATCTGTAGTCGCAGTGATAGTTATATAACCATATGCATTCAGGGCTCTGTCAATTTAACTGACCTTGTAGTGTACATCTCATGACCTTTTTACAAATTTATTGTTAATGTATGTCAATAAACTTGACATCAAAACATAGTTTTTAATTGAAATTTTAATATTATGTAAGTTTTAATTTAAAAAGGAAATATATTTAAAAATTTCCAATCTTCACTCTTTCATAACATGAGCCATTTGCCCTCTAATCTCTTAATTTAAATTTTATGACTTAACAATACAGCTTCTATGGTACTTAACCAATTAGAATCACAAACTCCACATACTGACAAAGAAAAAGATAAAATCTGAACCTCCTATCTTCTTGAATTGTTGAGATATCAACAAATTTTTCAAACCCTCTAGAGAAGAACCTTCTCTTCATGCCTTTCAGACCAGTTTATTCATTCATGCCTACTTACCTGATGGACATGTTTATTGTCAATAGAAAGAGCATACTGTAATTCACAGGAATCTTAATCTCATTTGTTTTGTTTTGGCATACAAAAGCAGTATTTTTTTTTAAAAGACCTTGATGTGTGTTGTATAATCGGATTTACTATTATATATTAAACTTAATATTGATGTTTGTTTAAATTAATTTATATTTAGAAATGTACATAACTTATGCTGTTAAATGTGTATTGTGAAACTCCCACCTATTTTCTAAAGGTGTAGAACACCATTGTTAGTATCAGTATTGTCACATGAACTGAAGTTTCAAGAAACTCCCCACATGCCTATAAATATAACCAACGCACTACGCCTAAAAAAAATATATATTATTGGTTTGCTATAGTTGGTGTGCTATAAACTTTGGAAGCTGTAACTGTGATTGTTATAATGCTTATTAATTGGGAAACTGAAGATATTTGACCAGGAACATTTATAAATTTTGAACATAACAAACCATTTAACTTCAGTGAATTCACATCTTAGTACTTTTATGAAAACATTACCTAATATCATCAGTAAAAAAAATTGGTGTGTGATCAGTGAAGACCACAGAGCTAGCTAGCTCCCTATTAAGTGAATTGTACCTACATCAAATCGAAATAAACTCACTCATCGTGAACCCTCGATAAGGCATCAAGGAATTTTCCAGACTACAAAGAAAACTTTATATTGTTTGTAAGTTTGTGAAACTTTTGTTTATAAATAATTGTTTGTAATAACTATTTGTAATAACTGTTATTTTAAATTGTATTGTTGTTTATATATTAAAACATGTTTGTATTAAAAAAGAAACTGTATGTATTAATCTTGTTGGCAAATATAATAAATTGGATAATATCGGCATTTATTTAACTACTAAATCTAAATTACAATTTAATGCAGTTTTAGACCATTTGAAATTTTAATACTTAACAGTTGAGTAAAATCATTGTTCTGAACAGTAATGGAATTGTTTTAACCTATTTATGTCTTAATTAGTAAACTAGGTAAATTATAGTAATTTTGGGGCATTCTTTACCAGTGCTTGATATATATTTTGTGTTTTAAAATGCATATTTTAAAGGTACATGAATTATATTTTGAACAAGCAATATTGTGATTAAAAGTAGGGTTACTGAAGCACATCCTCCAAGTACAAACAACATTAATGCCAAAGTAAATACTAAATTTCTTGTTTTTTTTGTATATTTTTTACATACTGTATTTATTTTTAACAAAAGTAACTATAATTTAATAATTAGAAAATTCTCAGGTTTGATAATAAAACGTAAATGAAAAAATTATTAATGAAATTTCATAAGATCAGTCAATAGAGAAGCCTGCAGTATGCTATTCATATGCTCAACTTAATCGTTTGTTTACCCTAAGCTCTCTTGCTGTGATATATTGCTTTTCATGCCAGACAGTGTCCAAAGTACAGTAATAAAATAATAAGATTATAAGAAAGCAGATGCGAAAAAGTTAAAATCGGAGATTATAAGCATAAATAATTGTAATTATCTATTAAAAGCTCCAGTCATTCAAGGAAAAGTAAGTTATTGATTTTATTTCATATTTTTCAAACTTTTCATTTCACTCTACATTAATGGCTTTGCTACAGTTAGTGTTAGGATAGAGAAAGTAAGAGACAAAGTATAAAGTTTTTGAAAAAAACAACTTGATATTCATTTAGGAAGTTTTTGAGGTTATTCAACCAAAATATAAAAACTGTAAGATAAAAATAAATATTTTTATTCTTAGTACTAGTTTTTTAATCCACACACAAATCTTTGATAAAGATATGTTACTAAAAAATATGATTTTTTGTGTACAACAAACTTGTAACGTGTACTAAAACCAAGCCACATTTCATGAAGATACTTTCAGTACATTCATAGTTATAGTATGTATTGTTTGATGATTACCTAATCATTACTTTATTCATAGGGTTAATAAGTAATATTTTGTTTATTAATCTGTTCACTAATAAAAGTAAGTTCAAAATAATCAGATTTTCGAAAAGATGACTTGCCTAAGTTGTCTTATATTTAAACCAAAACCATTGATTGTGTTATTTTGTGTTTAATAATTATCCTGTAATTTAATAATTATAGCAAAAATTATCCCCTCCTTATAATTTACTCAAATACACATTGTTCACATAAAAAAAAACATACTGATCTGATTCTTATGTAAAATAGATAAAATGTGTGATTTTAACGATTGAGAGTGATGTTAAGAAAGACTAGGAGATGGTAGTATTAACAAATTGTTACTGATTTTTGAAATATAAACATTACACTCTTGCACATTTTATTGTATCAAGTTTATTTACTGTCTTTATGACTCAAAATTTAAATCAGTGAAATTAGATTTTTTTTTGCTTATGATACATTCTATCAATGTTTTAAAAGAAACAAACATGTTATATGGGTAAAAGTCTTGGTTAATGGAGAAAAGAGAATCAAGAATTTTTAAGATGATATTTTAAAATGTTTATTTTGATCATTCTTCTATTGTTTCCTTTAAAAATTTACAGTTTTGTATAATGTATGTTTTTTAATGTTGTCACAAGACTTGAAATGCATAACTTACATGTAAACCTAATGAACAAGCCTGCAAATAACTCTTGTAGGATGGTTTCATCAAGGTAGATCATGATTACGTGGTTAACAGTGCCAAAATAGCCAAGCAACATGGATGTAAACATTTACTCATTGTCTCTAGCAGTGGTGCTAATCACAACAGCAAACTTCTGTACCATAAAACAAAGGTAAGATGTACAAATAACTGTTTATGAATAGAAACATAATAAACTCTTCTCTAGAACTAAAATTTAAATTTTCGTTTATCTCCTTCCTCAGCCAGTTACCAGCAATCATATGTTACTTATCATATTTCATAATGTACTGAATTTTGTAAAATTTTATGACATTTTTATACCATTTGTTTTGCAAATTATCTGTTGTTGTTTTTTTATCAACACATAGTCCTTTTGTGTTAACGATTCCAAAAAAAGGAAAGTCCACTTAATTTGTTACAAATTATTTAAAAACTAAATGTGTTTTATTACTTGGAGATTTAAGTAAAACACAGATTAATAAATGAAAAATTGAATTCTGATATGGTACTTACCTCTTGTCACAAGATTAGCTATTCTCGTTCAGTGCTGCCCTCTATATGTGATATTTTTCTTTATGCACGCCATAAGCCTCCCCCCTCCCATTTGTTGGAATTACTATGTTGTTCCAACATGTCTCTCGTGTAAATCATCATGCATCATCTCTTAACCAACACTAACATCATATGCTCACATGACGCATGTGACTCCGTCTACACTCCATTACGGAACCTTTACTTCTTGTTTGGCAGCATTTGAGTTAAGACATACTCTTCTGTGTGCCTCATGCTTCTAGTGTGACAGTTTTTTTTTTCACACAGTGGTTCCTTTATACTTTATTTTATTTTGTACCAGTTCATTCTTGTCACTCTGTTTCTGCACTTGACTTTTGTGAACCTTTTCTTGTGCTACGAATTCCGAAGTTCACGTTATCACTTCAGGGGTCACACCAACAACCAGTATTTTTTTCTCAGACTTCAGGAGCAGGCGACTTGACGGTGGTTCTCTGCTTTTATGTGTGGGAGATTGAGTGCTACATGAGTCAGCCTTTGTCCCCTGACATCGCCCAGGCTCCTCTTAAGACAGCTTGAGTCTTGTTCAGAATGACGAAGACTTTGATTGTCTTTTCCTGCCCTCTGAGCTGTTCCTTTCCATTTATAGCCTGAAGAATCACATAAGCCTAATTCAGTCTTTACAGATTTTGTGTCTCAGGTTTGTGATGTTTTGTCCCTTTCCTCTATCTCTTATCCCTTGTCCTTCTTGGTTACATGAACAAGCTTCCCATTCATTTTTGGTTTTTCCTCCCTCCTCTGATATTCGGATACACGCAGATCAATTTGTCTTGCAATTAAGTGAGGGGATTAGCATGCTGCACCCCTCGAGGACTTCTGATCACTTTGACTTTTCTTACGATCATGTGGACTATCCATTTTAGATCAGCAGTTGTTAGGTTTCTTATTACCTATTTGGGAGGTGGCTCCTGAATCTAATGTTAGTCTTACCCATGCCCAATATCCTCGCCTACATCTTACCCTAACCAACCTTTTATGGTATCTTTCTTCTATATATCACCTATTGGAGCTCTCCACAGAAATCCTGACAGGTTTTCTGCAGATACCCTTACACTTTTTTCCTCCAACGCTACAGCTCTGTTGTTACATACATGGTATCTTTGTTGTTGGTGGGACCTTATAGGTTGGGATCCAGATTTGGCTCAGGTCAGTTTACCCTCAACCTATCTCAGGGATTTATGTCTTGCACCTTTTTCTGAGACATTACATATTTGATACAGTCCCAGAAACTATTGAGCCTCAGGTGACATTGGTATACCAGCAATCAACCCTTATGACTTTTGTAGCCCATTTGTCTTGGTCAGAGCCTCATATGCGACTTATTCCCAATTCCCATCCTTCATCCTCCCAATCATCACCCATTCCTTCTAATTGGGGGACTTCTTCTCGTCAATTTCCTCGATGATGCAACCCTCACTGCCAACAGTACTGGTGACTACCCTGTGGGTTTGGATGGGAGCTCGGCTGTTAGATTTTTTCCTTGCTGGCGTCCCTTCGTAGACAATCAATGGGTAATATGGATTCTGTCAGAAAAATTCATTATCCAGTTTCTTTCCCCACTTCCCATTTCTTTCCCTCCTCCTTGAGAACCTGTGGTCTACTAGCATCTGTCAAAAGTGGTTCGAGAATTGCTTTTACAGCGGGTGATCAAACTGGTTCACCATCCTTCCAGGGTTTTCCGTCTTTTCGTTGTATCCAAGAAAAACCAGGTATTGGTGACCGGTCATCAATTTATCTTGCCTCAACTGTTTCACCATACTCCCCAAGTTCACCATGGAGTATTTTCTCACCCTGAGATGGGCATTTTCCCCAGGGGTTGTGGATGACAAAGATGGATGTCTCCAATGCTTACCTCCACATCCCAATAGCACATCAATCTCGATCTTATCTTCAGTTTGTCCATCTCTGGGTGATTTACCAACTTTTGACACTCCCCTTCCAACTTGCCTCGGCTCCCTGTGTGTTTTGTCGCATAATCCGACCTTTTGAATGTCATCTCCATGCTCTGGGGATGCGATTTCATTATTACATGGACAACTGGCTCCTTCTGGCTCATTTTAAGCAGGAATCAGCCGCTCATTTTCACCAATTTCTTTCTATGGTGGCTCAGGTGGGGTGGTTGATCAAATTGGAGAAGTAATTCCTTTGACCCACTTAATATCTAGTCTATTTGGGGGTATTTTTCAACACAAATATCATTTGTGCTCTGCCTTCTCCTTTACATCTTCATTCAATAGAACTTTTGGTTCACCATGCCCTCTTGGCTCAGTCACTTTCTGCTCGTGAAGTTCTATCACTTTTTGATTTGTGGTCCTCCATGACTGCTCTGGTCTCTCTAAGTCATGCCCATATGAGATCCCCTCAGCGAGCGCTTCATGAACAATGGAACCTTGCTCGGGATCTCCTTTCCACTCCCATTTCCCTTCTTACTTCCCTGTGAGATGATATGCATTGGTGTCTGAACAAAGTCCATACATCAGCGGGTGTGCTGCTTCCTACCCCTTGTCCAGATCTCCATCTTTTCATGGATGCATCCCTCCAGGAGTGGCGGGCATAGGTCAGTCCCCAGGAAGCTTTGGCTGTTGGTCTGTGGACAAAATCATCTTGCATATCAAAATTTTCAAACTTCTAGCAGTATGTTGGGCATTGCATCACTTCCTGCTTCTCACCTATCATTATCTGGTGATGGTTCGTTCTACGGTGGTGGTAGATATCAACCACGAAGGGGGCACCCAGTCCAGAGATCTGTTTTTGATATTGGATCTAATATACATCACATTTGCTTTATCATGTCGTGCTGGGTGCTTTCAATCTCATCACTGGTTGTCTGTCGTGCCCCGACCAAATATATCCAATGGAGTGGACATTAGATCCACTTGTTTTTAGGGATCTGTGCCATCAGTGGGGTTTTCCTCAATTAGATCCCTTTGCCACAGGCCTCAATATCATTTTTGGTCATCTGTACCACATCCACAGGCTTTGGTCACACAAATGTCTTTATGTGTACCCTCCCATCCAATCGGGTGATTTATCTCGTCCACTCAACTCCTTATCGGGTCCTCCTAATTGCTCCCTATTGGCCAGCTCAACCTTGGTTTCCAAGGCTACATTTTCTGCTCCTATCACGAACTATCCCTCTTTCACTTTCTCCCTCCCATCTTCATCAGCCTCGATCCCACATTCTACATCCCAATCTCCACAACCTGCATCTTCATGCCTGACTTTTGTCTGGTCCTTGGCGAGACAATCCAGTTTCACATGTCAAGTCACCTCCTTGTTAGCTTGTTACATAAGGCCATCTTCCAATGCAAGCGAAAAGTATTCCGCTGTTGGTCTGCTAATAGGGGGTTTCCTGCTGACAAGCCTTTTGTGGGTCATGTGGCAATATTTCTCACCTGGCTCTTTGGTCTCCTTGCTTTCTGAATATTTGGTTTCACACAGATAGTCGCCTCTTTGTTAGCTCATTCCATAAAGCCATCTTCCATGGAATGATTTCCACAAAGAAAGGACTAGAATCATTCAGTCAAGAGTAGGGTGGTGGTGTTCTCCTGATAACATTTAAACAACCACTGAAGTCTAGCCGTTGCCTTACTGCATGATGTGACTTCCATAGGAGTTGAGCCATCACAATACCTTATGACGTGGCCTCCTGATACCATTTAAACAACAACTGGAGTTGCCGTCACCTTACTGGTTGACATGGCCTCCTGATACCTATTTCACATCAATGAGAGTTCAGCCGTCACTTTCCTGGATGACGTGGCTCTTGATTCCATTTACACAACAACTGGAGTCAAGCCGTTGCCTTACTGCATGATATGGCCATCCTAACACCCTCTAATTCAAAACCTCTTGGTGGGGTACCGACATCCATGCAAGGGTAGGATAAGGTCTTGCATTTGAAGAGGTGAACTGCAATTTGATGGTTCAACTCCAGTGTTTATGTGGAATAGGGATCAGGAAGCCACATCATCCAGGAAAGTGATAGCTCAACTCCTATGGATGTGGAATAGGGATCGGGAGGCCACATCAACTAGTAAGATGATGGCTCAACTCCAGTTGTTGTGTAATTTGAACCAATCATCATAAGTCTTCACATGAGTTGATTCCATGCGATTGCCATATTTTCAATACTGGATGTTGATTCCAGGATTGATAGATCAGTGATGATCCTCATGTCATACCCAGAAATTGGTGTGGGTCATAATCCCCAATTCTTGGGTTTGAGGTGAAGACTGTATGATGATCATCCTACCCTTGCATGGATGTCAATACCCCATGAGGAGGTTTTGGATGTAGTTGCCTTACCAAGTCCAGTCCACCACACCCTAGCTACTCTACACCTCTCAGTTTCTGCCCTTACAGCTTACACATTCCACACATGGGCAAAGAGTTTACCTGGCTCAGAAGTGCTGCAGTTCCCCTCTTCTGATCTTCGGATCTATCCGTCTCTCTCTCTATTGTCAGGGGTATCCTTCTGATGCTTTTAAGGGTAATTCTTTCATTCCCTTGCACTAGTCCCTCCTCCTTCTCAATCTGGGATTCTAGCTAATGTTGTGAGAGGAGGTAAGTACCATATCGGAAGTTATAATTTTCATATACTGAAAATGTATTTCTGATAGGTACTTACCTTCTCTCACACTTCCCATTCTTCCTCTGGTGTTCACACCTTTTGCCAGACTTCGAAGTGAAGGTTCGGTAAAGGAATGTAGAGGGAGTCACATGCGTCATGTATAGGAAAATTATAACATACAATGAGAGAAAATTAGTAAATCATTCTGATCTTTAAAGGTATTTTGTACTTCCTTGTATTAATCACTCGTTTTTTTGTATGTTTTAAGATATAATTTTCTTTGTTAGCGATACTTGTGCAACAGCTTAGTGTATTCCTAGGGTATACATTATATACATCAGTCATTGAAGTTATATAATAACTTATTTAAATCTTTGACTTCAGTTATTATATTTGTACTCTAAACAAAAGATTGCTGATTGATGTACACATTATGAACTCAAATAGTAATATGATAAGAACAACTACTGTACAGAATTTGAGTATGTTGTATTAAAATGATATTGGAGCCTAACCATGTTCTTCTAGCCCATGTAGTCTTATCCTCCATTCATACTCTGTGTGATTAATGTGCATTTTGACAATATTCCTGCAGTGTAGTTGCTGTTACAAACAGCTCTGTTGTAAGTTTTTTTCATGTCCAAAACACACCACTCCTTCTTGCAAACTTTCAATAATCCATCTAGCATAAGAAAATGATAGTTTCCCAGCACCCATATCAACAGTTCGATTGCACAAAAATCCATAGGTACTGTGTCCAACAACTTGACCAGCATGTCTTCATGTAGAATAACATGAATACCCATTTCATTCGCCAGCTGCTTGAGATATGTGACATTTGAACAAATGTGTCATGGAAACAATTTGTGTACACATTACTTGTGTATATTATTAAAGTGGAGATCCTTCTTGATTATCTTGCATAGTGTTGCCTACGACATATAAACAGCTTTTTTCCAATAACCTTTGTACTTGTGTATTCTCACCTTACACTTACTTACCACAGCTGGGGTACAACTTGTTGCAATTGACCAATATACCTTTTCTTTCCAGTGCTATTAAGTACAAGGGATAGCCTTGTCTTAAAATTCTAAACATATCTTTATGACCAGAACATATGAATGTTTTGAAAGAGTATTTCACACCCTTCCCAAGAATAACCAGATTTTAGTGGCATTGCAGTACCCACAAAATGGCAAGCAAAGTCCAAATGTAGTTCTGACTTATTCTGTTCCACCTCAACTTAATATTGTTTGTGGTTGTCAATGTAACGTGTTGGTTTACATATTCAGATTTTTTTAGCACAACATACTTTATCCTGTGTACTTATTCACTAGCACTTACACAATTTTGGATCTTTGAAACCTTATTCTTGCAGTTTGAGTTGAACTAAAGTAATATTTTAAAATAAATGTTTTATATTATTTAAATTGGATTTTGGGTACATTGGTAATTATTAATGCCTAAATTTGTGTTTTTTGAAATAATATATAATGTTTGATTCTTTGCTAGATTGTTTTTTTGGTATTTATACTTTATAATTTGTATTAAATAAAAACTTTTAATTTCTGTTATCGCTTTTACAAAAGCTTAAAAATTATTTTTTAAAGGGTTTAACAGAAGAAGATTTAAAGGATGTTGGTTTCGATAGACTTTCGATATTCAGACCTGGGTAAGTACTTCTTACTGGGTAAGATCAAGATGCTGAACATTATGACATAGAAAAAGTAATGATCAGTACCTTGATTATATTTGCTGATAATATTAAGGTATCGGGTGTTAGTATCTGTGAGGGTGACTCTGCTGCTCTACGAAAGTATTTAGATCATTTGGTGAGTTCAGCAAATAACAGGCTTTTAATTATATTAAATGCATATGGGTTACCATAATTTAAGCTAAGTATAATTTTGATGGAAGTCACCTTACCAGTTTTATAAAAGAAAAGGACCTTGGTGTATTGGTCTCTTAAGCCATCCAAGCAGTGTGCTGTTGTTAGTGGTAGTGCAAATAGGATTTTGGATCCTATTTACAGAAGTATTGATTAAAAGTCTAAAGATATTATAATTTTGTTGTATAGGGCACTTGTTAGGCTTCATTTGGAGTACTGTGTTCAGTATCGGACTCCTTAACATAAGGACATAGAATTGTTGATAAGGGTTCAAAGAAGGGCTACTAAGATGATACCTGAGATAAAAAGGTTGTCATAACAGAACAGGTTTAAGAACCCAGAAATTTTCTCAAGTAAAAAAAGAAAAGAAATATTAAAGGGGAGTACTGTTGTTGTTGTTTGTAGTTAAGCACCAAGCTACTCAAAAGACTATCTGTACTCTGCCCACCATTGGTATTGAAACCTGTTTTCTAGCGATATGCCACTGGGGGGCAAATTAGAGGGGATTTGATTGAAGTGTTGAAGATTTATAAGGAATTGATAGTATAGATGCATTATTGTTTTTCTTATTTATTGATGAGAATGGTAGAGTTGGAGTCACCTTTGGCTTGGACAGTTTTACTTTTCTAATAGGTTTATTGGTTGAACTTTGAAATGGATTTCTTTGAGATATGCTGGATGTTATGAACTTAAGATATGTTAAGGAAAGGCTCAATAAATATTTAAATGATCAAGCTAGATTTAAGTTGTTGTTTTATTTTACATGGATGGGACAGCCTCGATGGACCAACAGGCCACTTCCGATCCATAAAGATTATTATGTATAGTTGTAATTTTACTTTTGCATATAACTGTTAAAAGATTTTAATAGTAATATGTTTGTCATAGAACATCACTGTATAACTGATTATAATTTAATGCAAGTAATTTATTTTAGCTGTTCAACATAAGTACTACAACTTGGAACCAGAATTATTTAGTAAAGAACTGTTTTTATTTCAGTAAGATTAGCTAAGTAGTTTTAGTTCACAATGTGATATTGTCAAAGGTTTTTGCTATGCAACCGCCAAGAATTCCGTCCACTAGAACGTGCAGCTCTTACAGTAATGAAACCCCTCTTCAGTTTCTTTCCAACTTTGATGTCTGTTCCAACTAGCTATGTGGCTAAAGCAATGGTGAAAACAGCACTTACTCCAAATCCTGACAAAGTGGAGATTATTGAAAATAAGGCTATGCATACACTAGCCAGTCAGGATCAGTAGTGACAATCATGCTGCACAAGTAACAGATGGGTTTGTAGTAGAGAGAAAATGATGTAATTAGTATTGAATAACATTTCATAATTAAAATAAAGAATAAAAGTAAATTGGTCCAGGTTGAAGGTAAGATATTAAAGTTTTTGCTTTTTGTTGGTGTTGAATAATTATTAGCTCAAAATTGGATGTTTATCATTATTTAAATTTGTTGTAACATACTCTTTTTAAATTCCTTGTCATTCTGAAAATAGATTATATTAATTAGAAGTTTCACAGCCTTTTTTTCTGCACAAAAATTAATTAGTGATTTTAAGACTATCAGAGGAGCTTAGACATTATGTACCACACTACTTTGGACCCCGATGAACAGTACTATTATTTCTTGAACTCTCATCTAAGACTTGATTATATTTAGTTATCATGTTTAGATAAAGATTTTATTGAAATTCATTTAGGTTTTCAGTATAACAACATCTGAAAGAGATTCAGCTTTCATTTTATTATAAACTTTTTTGGTTTCATTTTCATGCTCACATTTTCCCTTGAAAAAAAGAAGACTTCTCAGTTGATGTAACCTCAGAATATGAAAGTGCTTAACAAGCATAAGATAGGCATAATGTGCATTCAGCTTACTTTTCATTCACTAAAGCAATGCAATTTTCCATGATGTGCACATATCCACACTAAAATAATTTTAAGTGAACTTTTTTACAAGCACATACTAAATAAATAAAAAAAGTGCTTGAGAATGTGATTTACACTATATTTCTAGTCCTAAGAATTCCATTAACTTAAATTACAGACACGTGTTATGTTTAGGAATGTGAGAGTTGTACATACAGTATCTGTATGGAAAACTGTTGACAGATGTAATGTGATGCAATGTAAATGTTAGTTGTTCAATTGTAGATGTATCACATAAGAGCCAATTTGAAATAGTATTACTTGAGTAAGGAAGCACCTTATGCTAATATAATGACAATAATAAGATGGCAAACAAGGTTTTATAAGAATAATAAAGTGATTTATTTTGGGGGGGGGGACATAGTACATGTTATGACAGAACAGTGGTCTGTCTTCTGTTTATACCTGAAAAAGACAGATCATTGTTCTATCATAACACGTAGTATGTTCCCCCCTTCAAAAAAAAAAATAAATAATTTTATTATACTTATAAATCATTGTTTGCCAACTTATTATTAAAATAGTATTGACTTAAGTATTGCAATGAATGGTTTTGGAGCCATTAATTGAAACTTTTCATTTTTAAGTTTGAATGTGAAACAAATGTTGATAATAGTAAGAAAATGTATTGGATTAGACTCAGCCATTTTATGTATTTTATACCCCTTTCAGTAAATATTTATAAAAAAGAAAAGATTTATTATTTTTTTAGCAAAATCGGCAGGATTGGAAGTTTGCTGATGCAACTTTGATAAGTTAATTTAATATTAAACCAGAAACATGTTGTTTTCTGATCCTCGTTTAGTTTAACTGATATCTGCTGTCATGTATTTGTAAACAAATAAAACTGTAAACAAGGAGAAGCACGTCAGCACACATACTGCACAATCAGAGCATTGCTACGCCCTGAATTCCCAGTTGACATCTTCAAAAATCAAAAGAGAAAACCATGATTGATATCATATTGAAATGCTGAAAATTCCCACTCTGTGGGCCAGAGCCCCAAATCTTAAGTACCTATCAATGCCTGTGTGCAAAATTACTACTTACGTAAGCATAAGGTGTATGTTTTTATTGATGTATAGTTCAAAACTGTGTTTACTTTTTAATCCTTGCTTTATGCCATAAGGTTTTGCTCTCTAACCTTGTTAATAGCATTAAGTATATTTAATGCTGTAAACACTTGTTAGTGGTAATTTCAGTATTTTATGATTTCTAAGGAATTGAGAAACTTCGGAAGTTTAAATAGTAGAGCTGGGCAGTTAATGCTATTTGCTAACTGATTAATCAACAGCCCTATTAATAGATTACATTAGATTAATCACTTAGTATAATGTTCCTGTAACAATGGTACGTTTAGAAGCAAAACAAAATGTTGGTTTCAGATGTTACTGGACAGTTGCCTTCCCTCTAGTCAGCAGTTCAAAAGGAAGGAAAAAACTAGGCAGTGGGTGTTGCTCGCCAGTTGCCTCCCTTCTAGTCAGTAGCTCAAATAGAAAAACAAAACAAAAAACTGGCCTTCCCTCTAGTCAACAGTTCAAAAAGAAAACAAACAAAAAGAAACTGGCCTTCCCTCTAGTCAACAGTTCAAAAGAAAAACAAAACAAAACTGGCCTTCCCTCTAGTCAGCAGTTCCAATAGAAAAACAAAACAAAACTGGCCTTCCATCTAGTCAGCAGCTCAGAATTAAAGACAGGACAGATGGTCTTAGTAGCTTTTCCCCATGATTTACCAAAGCTGAACAAACTCAAGATAAAAAAACTTATAAGGCTAAAATTGAGCAAAGCACAGATAGCCCATTACATAAACTTTGTGCTGAACAAGAAACAAAGATTTTTAGATTATTAGTGGTAAGTAAAGGATTATATGCCAAAACCAAATAAACATAATAGCAATATTTCAATTACTTAGATAATTGAAATAACCTCAAATCCTAATTTCATTGGTTGATTATTTTATGAAAATTAATTTAATCATAATTTCAATTAATCAGTTGTTGTCTTCTTCTGTAGCTTTTTCTCGTATCTATACAGGGTCGCTATTTCTGGTGTTGGCAGGGTTTTTACGGCCGGATGCCCTTCCCGACGCCAACCATCCCCTAATTTAGCGGTGTAAGACTAGAGGGAAGGCAGCTAGTCATCACCACTCACCGCCAACTCTTGGGCTATTCTTTTATCAACGAATAGTGGGATTGACCGTCACATTATAACATCCCCCACGGCTAAAAGGGCGAGCATGTTTGGTGTGACGGGGATTCGAACCCGCGACCCTCAGAATTAATCAGTTGTTGTAATAATCAAAAATTGTAATAATTGAAACACTTATTTCAGTTAATTCTTAATTTATGTGGTAGCACTAATCATTACAATTGGTTCTCATGGGTAATTAATTAAACCAATTAAATCACCCAACTCTACTGAAAAGGGAAATACCCTTTCTTCATGGGGTATAAAATTCCAAACTCACACATGATTAATATCACACTTTTCAAGGGTACATAATGGTTATATAGTGTGTTTCAGGGCAGTAAAAAGAGTTAAATAAAGTAACAAGACTATTTTTTAGAATTAAGAAAAGTGAAACACACAGACAGTATTGCACAACTGACAGAATGCAGTCAGAATGACACAAATGGGATGCTAAATTAAAATATTTTAAGACAGTTACAACTCATTAATATAACTTTCAAACAGAATAATTAAAAGTAAGCTTTAAGTATCATTCGTCGATATACTACTATATTCCAAGTATGTATCTTTTTACCTTGCTGTAGTACTAATTTGATACATTAACCAGTTGTTTGAATTGATTAAGAAATATGTAACATGAAAATAGAAATCTTCATTACTTATAACTCTATGGAATTTGAGATTTTATTTCTACTCCAAATCAATTTATATTTACAATCAAGTGAATCTTTAGATACTTGATAGCTTTTTGGTTGGAATTTGAAATTCAGAATGACCACTACTCTTGCATTCAGCACCACACGAGTTAGTTTCTTTGAACTGTTGTAGCTAAAATTTTAGATAGTTTTGCAATTGTCGTGTCTTCAAGATTTTTCCTTCTGAAAAAAAAAGACTTCTCTCTGACGGGTTTTCTCAGTTGTATTTAGAATGTATTTCCTTCAACGTTAATTTAAGAAATTTTTCCAATTGTTTACAAAAGTACAAAATACCCATAAGGCAGGATCACACTTCAGACACATCTACAGGAATATTAATTTATAGAATTATATGGTGGGACATGAACATTTTCCATAAAAACTCCACTTAGAAACAGCCTTCTCTCACCTTTTTATAAAGGCATGCTGTAATTTCTTGCAGATTTGGATTTTGTTTCTACATTTTGACAAGTTTTGCCAACTCTTGCTTATCAACGTACGATGCAGTAGGAAAACAATTGAGTTAACCAAAGGCTTGACACTGACAATAATTTTAAACAAAATTCAATTTAAGCATTCATATTTTAAACAGATAATTGGGGCAGCCAATGTTGGTGTTTTATGATATCTTTGAGAAATAGATCCACCCAAACAAAATTTTGCTTGAAAATAAGTAATAGTTTGAGTGGCACTAAATGAACATAAAAAATGTCTTTAGTCATTTGCAAACAATCCACTTCCCTAAAAATAAAGAAATATCACCTATCTCTCTAAGATTTAGACAGCTGGTTTCCCCTAACCCTGAAATAAAAATTGTTTTTTCCTCTATTTTTGTATGTCATGAATATTAATATTCAATTAGTTTTTGTTTTTCACTATGATAAAACTATCCCAAAATTTTGTATCATACGTAATTTCTACAGAAGAGATTGTGCAAAAAATTTTATTTGTGGTCATTTATGTATTGAAACCAGGGAAAGATACATGATTTTCAATTAGGGGGCGTAAGTCAAATTCCGTAACCTTTGTAACATTTCATACTACTCCTAAGTACATGGACAGGTGGTTAGGGCGCTTGACTCGCAATCTGAGGGCTGCGAGTTCGAATCCCTGTCACACTGAACATGATCACCTTTTCAGCAGTGGGGGGGTATTATAAAGTCAATCTCACTATTCATTGGAAAAAGAGTAGCCTAAGAGTTGGAGGTGAGTGGTGATGACTAGCTGTCTTCCCTCTCGACTTTCACTGTTAAATTATGGACGGCTAGCACACATAGCCCTCGTGTAGCTTTGCGAGAAATTCAAAACAATAACTTAAATTCACCCTTAATTATAGGAAAACATTGCTCAGCAAAAAATGGGGGGGGGAGAGGTCCCTTGAATCTGCTCATGGAAACTGTTCAGTATTGTTAGTTTTACTGTTCAATATTGTTAATTTTACTGTACAGTATTTTTAGTTTTACTGTACAGTATTGTTAGTTTTACTGTACAGTATTGTTAGTTTTACTGTTCAGTATTGTTAGTTTTACTGTTCAGTATTGTCAGTTTTACTGTACAGTATTGAATGCACATTGCAAAAATAGATCACTAATATTAAAGAATGTTGTTGAATAAAAAAACTTAGTTTGTTTTGCACCATTAGCTACATTTTTGCCACTAACTTGTGATCATTGTATTTATTGTTATATCATTTCATAATAATTGAACAAATCTGATAATAAACACATTGTATTTTTCTTTTTTTTTAACATACAAGAATTTGTTGCAAATGTACTTTTAATGAATGATGTATTTTACATGTATCAAATTTTAAAGCCAAAGAAAGCCAAAGAAAATAATATATTGTGTGATAATGTCAGGAAAATGATGTTTCAATGTTTTGGTAAGTGTAACTAAGTGTTGCATTCTTAACTAATTTACTCAGTAATTAATACTTTTAGGTTAAACTAACATACTAAAGACTAAATATAAATTTCTGTTAATGGCAGAAATTAGGCTAACTTGTAGAGATATTTAAGCAAAATCGAACTAAATGTAAGGTGAGAGAAAAGACAACTAGATTTTTGTGCATTTTCTTATGAATATGTTAGTTAATAATTGCTTGTGAGAACTGTTTTAATTCTTTTTTAAATTGTTTTTTAGGTAGTTTTTTGTAATTCATCTATTGTTCCTGATGTTTTCTTTTTGGTTTTTATAGTTTTCTAAAAAATAAAATATTCAAAAATCAAAAATGCTCAGTATGAAAATTGAAAACTGTTTGCACAGTTATATATCAAGAAATTTTGTGGGTACATTCAACTTAATATCACTAATGTTTCTTAAGCCAATTTTACAGTTACAGCAAGTCATAAAATTTTTCTTGTTACTTACATATGCAATTTTAGAATGTTTATTAAATTTACCTCAAAGTTTAGATTTGTTATTTGGACAATTCATAATTATGAATTAAAAATTAGATATATTTCAGGTTATTGTGTGCAGAATGTTTGATTTTATATATTTATATATATTTTCATCATAATTTATTGAAAATAAATTTATTTGATCAGCTCAGTAATATCCATGTTTTATTTATTTTGGAAATACTGGTGATCTACAGTGTTTTATCAGGGTTAAAAATGAATTTATACAAAACATACTTAGAACTTACTTGTTATTGAAACACTTGCTTTACATTAAACACATTAAATCAGTTGACTAAATGTGGAATTTGCTAATTTACACATCTTTATACTCTTTTGTAACAAAAATGTTTGAGACTGACAAACTTTCTGGCTAGATCTAGCAGTCAGATTTTCTACACATTTTGTTTGTAAGAATTACAGTATGAAACATGTTCCCTGTCACTAGTTATCAGATTCCATATCATAACCATCTGATTTCTCAATGGGTAAGCTTTAAGTTTATGGACTTCCAAGGTTAAAATTCTGGTTTTGGTTTTCTGCAGTGGACAGAGGATAGAAAGATCATTGTGTAGGTTTGTGCCAAAAATCAGTGACATGACTGTATGAGAACTACAGTTTTAAGCTTTTTAA